GCACATCCAGCCGGGGCTCGGGGACCCTCGGGGACCCTCAGGGACCCTGGGCCTGCAGCGGCCCCCGCTCCTTGCGCTGTTTTGGGCACAGCCCGGGCCCGGCCATGGCGCGGCAGCCGCGGGGAGGGTCCCGGAGCCTCAGCCACTCGTGGGGAACTGGGGCAGGGTTGGCAGCGGCGTTCCAACAATGAAAGGCTGGGAGAGCTGAGAATGTTCAACCTGGAGAAGGGAACTCTCCGGGGAGACCTCAGAGCACCTTCCTGGGCCTAAAGGGGCTCCAGGAGAGCTGGAGGGGGACTTGGGACAAGGGGTGGGAATGGAGTCACATAAACAGAGATGGAGGATAAATAGGATGTTGGGCAGGAATTGTTCCCTGTGAGGGTGGGCAGGCCCTGGCACAGGGTGCCCAGAGCAGCTGCGGCTGCCCCTGGATCCCTGGCAGTGCCCAAAGCCGGGTTGGACAGGGCTTGGAGCAACCTGGGACAATGGAAGGAGTCCCTGCCATGGCAGGGGGCTGTGCCTAAATGGTCTTTAAGGTCTTTCCAACCCAAACCACTCCGGGAAGTACGAGAGTGCCGAGAGTGTGGCATTAATGAGGCTGTTCCGTGTGCCCGGGTCAGAGCCCGGGGGCTGCAGGGCTGGGACAGGGCTGGGGGTCCCACTGGATGTCCCCTCGCAGCCACCAGCCCCTGGACCAGCAGCCGCAGCTGATGCCCTGGAAGGAGATGGAGGAGGGGGTGGGGGGAGATCAGAGCGGTGCCACCCCCGGGTGAGCCGTGTGTCCCCATGCTGTCCCTCAGCAGTGTCCTGAGGCCCCGGGAGCTGCTGTGGTGGGAGCAGGTCCCCAGGGGCTCTGCTGGACCTGCCCGAGGGTCCCCAGTCCTGCCCGGGGGACAAGGGCCCCTCTGTGCAGCTCAGGAGCCCCGAGGTGCTGCCTGGGGCTGCAGGAGGGGCAGCAGAGCTGTGACATTCCCAGCTGTGACCCCTGTCACAGTGCAGACCCCCACGCTGGGCTGGCAGACCCTGCCCGAGCTCCAGCCCCCCTTTCCCCCTGGGAATGTGCCCCACATCACATCTCTCACCCCGAACACAAAGCCCCAGCAGCTCATGGAGGGAGGGTGGAGGACACCCAGGTGCCATTCCAGAGTGGCCCAGGGGTTTCTCCTGGTGGTGGAGAGCCAAGTGAGGCACCCACAATGACACGGTTCATTCTGACACACAGCTCGTATTTAAAAATAGCAACCAAAACTAAAAAAAACTTTTATTTGACAATAGAAAAACAAACAAAAATATATTTACAGTAGTTTGTTATTTCTCCATAAATTTAATTCTAAAAGCTCCTGCCCTCCCAATTCTCTGGTCCATCCCAGGGCAGCAGCACCAGCCCCTGGCACAGGCACAGCTCTGGGGGAAGGAAACCACTTCAGTTTGACTGGGGCAAGACGAGAGCAGGAGGCCAAACAGCCTCTCCCTCCCCCGGGGCAAGGGACAGAGCTGCAGGGGGCTGACACGGTGAAAGAGGGAGTCCCAGAAACGAGGACTTTCCCTGGAAAGGAGACGAAGGGCGAAGAAAGGCTGGAGATAGAAATGTGCCTGGGGGTGAGAGGCACACGATGGGCACCCTGCCAGCCCAGTGCCACCCCAGCACTGCACAGGGCACCTGCCAAGGTGACGCTATTGGGAAGCCTTCCCACAGCACACCCTGCCCCGGCACCTTCCTTCTGAAGAAATGGAGTTTGGGAACACACCACTCCTCCAAATCAGTGCTTTTCCCTTCCAGCCTCCCCCAGTCCTGCGGCTGCCCCCCCTCCAGTCATCAGCTCATCTGCCTAATTACCGACACCATCAGTGCTCCTCGGGACAGGGCACAGTCATTGACTCGCATCCCCCGCACAGCACCCAGGGACACCCAGCCAGGAGCAGCCCCAGAGCCCAGAAGCCACCCAGGCCGCTCCCAGTTTGTCACTAGAGGTCCCCAGCACCGCACGGCCACACCGGGAGGGGACAAGGAGCAATATTCCATCCTCTGCCTCAGCCCAGCGCTGCTTTCCAGGAACCCCGCGCTGCACTGGCAGGACTCACACAGTCGTGCCCGCACCACGCCTCTTTCCAAATGTTTGATGGAAAAAAAAATAAAATAAAATAAAATTTTAAAAGGAAATGAAGTCGGGGACAAAATTCACAGTCTCAGCTTTGCCCAGGCTCGGCCATGAGCTCCAGGCACAGCATGCACACATTCAGCATGAATGCGAGGGGAACACAGGCAAGGTGTGGAAATGCTTATAGATTTAAAAAAAATTAAAAAATAAAAGAAAGTAATAATCATGTAATAAATCACAATTAAAGGGAAAATGTTTCAACAGAAAACTTGCTAAACAGCACCATAGAGATTTCTACTGGCAGCATCCAGAACAACCTAAAAAGGAAGAGGAGGGTCCTATTTGGAAAATGATAAAATGACACAGAATCCATGTTTCCAGTTCATCCATCCTTTGCCCTTCCCTGGGCAAGGCAGGGCCCCCGGCCAGCACCAGGAAACAGAAAGGCCCCCCAGAAACAAAAGGGGGGCCCGGGGGAAGGGTGGGAGGGGGAAAAGATCAGAGATTTGGGAGACAAAGCTCTTCATCCACAGTCCTTAAAATAGACACTGGCATTAAAAAAATAGGTTCTCTCTGTCTCCCTGAAGAAACGGCGCTGGCTGGAGCCTCGTT